CACAATCTTCATTATGTATATTAAATAAATATAAAAAAAAACACTTGAGTATATTACATTATCTAGTTATTATTTCAGTTGGCCGCCCTATGACACATCAAAAATAGTCTCCCTTTTTAGCCTCGCACCCCATCACCCTGCATATTGTTCAAGTCTGTCCTATTTAAAGTCACCATAAAACAGAAGGTAAGATTGCCCTTTTTTGATCTATCCATTTGAAACATGGTACATCCACTTAAAACTGTCCTGAAATTAAAAAGAAGAAAAGAAAAATAAATTAGGACAGTGCATGATTTTGTCCTTTGGGAACCGATTGGATTGTTGGAAGATGAGTTTTAATAACAAATGTAAAACAGACATGCCCTGGCTGATAGCCTGCCCTCAAGGCATGACTAAAAGAAAACGTTCTTTTAGATTGTAGAGAAAGTTATTGTACATGATTAAAGTTTCTGAGGGCAAATGCATTTTTACAAAATGATGAAGTGCACAGATGCTGTACATTGTTAGTAATAAGTACTACTACATACATATAAAAATAAGAAGAGTACATTTTGATTGACATATTTCAACTTTAAAGGCATAGTTGTCCCAAAATGTATTACAAAACAGTTTACTCACCCTTGACTTGTTCTAAACGAAGATGTATTGGAGAATGTGAGAAACCTGTGGGCATTGACTTCCATATAATTCGTTTTTCCTATTATGCAAGTCAATGGTGTCATTAAGTCAATTATCTCTTTATTAAAACAATTTAGTCTTTATTGCTTCCTACTGCACTTCTGTACTTTAATTTGTACTTCTCTTTAGAGTATTCATTCATGAATTTGTGCAAACCCACTGCCTGTAGTGACTTCACACACATACGACACTTACTAAGTAAATGAGAAGTGTGACAGAATATACTGTACCTCTGTTTGTGCCTAATTTATACCCCTGTAAATAAATATTATTTAAATGCTACATTACAAAATGCTATTTGGAGGAAACATAAACACTCCCTTTGAGCTAGAGTAATCGCAGAATATCCAGTGGAATCCACTTTGCATCACACTTACTGTATTGGCGAAAAATAACAAATGTCTAAAATAATAGAAACAGAAAGTAATAGTAAGAGAAACAGAAAATGTGCAGAGCAGTGGGTAATGAGGACTAGATTTAAGAACCACTGCTTTATGCTAACACTTGTTTTTGGGAAATGTGCATGTGTTTAATGAACATTTTTCTGTCTCCTGTAGCTTATAGATCACTGGATTACACGCTGTCAAAGTTTGGGGATCCCAATCAGTGACAACTTCAGTCTTATTGGCATTCTAGGAGATCCATATGAGATCCGACAGTGGAATGCCGAAGGGTTGCCTCGGGATAATGTCTCCACAGAGAATGGAATTCTTGTGATGCGAGGACGCCGCTGGCCTTTAATGATTGACCCTCAAGATCAGGTGCCCTCTAACATCCAGTGCCTTGTTCTGATTTCTGAGAACAAATTCTAATTTAATAGTAATATTGATAGTTTAAATTTATAGTTTTAACACTTAAACAGTTTAAACTTCAGTTGACAGTACCTTGCATAACCATAACAACAATTTTTTCTCTCTTTGAGAGGATTATTTTCATATTAAATGGAAACCAATAGTTCTCTTAGGGCAGGCAAAACAGCTGCCACACACTGTTTTAAGATGGTAGTTGTAGTTTACCTCATTATCTCATAGACAGTGGCATCAATTTTTATGGTAACAAGCACAGACTGGTGGGAGTTCTGATATTGCAGAATATTGCACGGCTATCAGCCAATCAGATTTGAGAACCTGACAGAACTGTTGTGTATATATATATATATATATATATATATATCTCACACGAGTAGCAGTGCGATATGGCTGTATATTGGCACTGGTGGGAGGCGTGCGAAATGGCACGAGGCAGCAGGCCGAGTGCCTTAGTGCACCCATCAGTGCCAAATACAGCCATATCGCACTGCTACGAGTGTGATATTGCATTTATACAACAGTTTGATGGCATAATTGTGTATATAAAAACAACATCAAACACGGAGAGTCTCAAAAACCCTTTTGTATGTGGAACTACTTTTCTTCCACATTCCACATTCAAATCATAAGCTGACAGTTAAACAGCTGAGCATGCATCTTTTAAACTTTAAATCTGTAGTGTCTGCTTTTTGCTGGCTGTATGTGGGCAGAGTAATACACAAAGGGTAAAGAGGCTGTAGGAGTTCTGATATTGCAGAATATCGCAGGGCTATCAGCCAATCAGATTTGAGAACCAGACAGAACTGTTGTATATATATATATATATATGTGATGAATTAAATTTAAAATATTTAACATTTGCAGTTTTGTTACAAGGTGTTCCTATGGCAGAAAATAGATTAATTACATAAAAGTTTCTTTAAATAATTTTTCTTATTCTATTTTATTTTCTTCATCTTCTAGTTTTGTATTTTTTTTTCAAATGTTACTGGTAAAAGGTATAAGATTTATTGTTTTTTTAATGAAGCTTTTTTCTGCAAGGCTGCATTTATTTAATCAGAAACGCACTTAAAACAGTAATATATTTTAATTTTATTACAGTTTCAAATAATAGTTTGCTGCATTTACATATTTTATTGTATCCTGTGTTAAACAAAGCTAAATTTTGAGAAGATATTCTTTAGAAATCATTCTAATATGCCTTTCTAGTACTTTTCTATTGTGTATTATGATCAGTCTCATGAATATTTACTCCACAATTCTAGAATAGATAGTTTAAAAGGACAGCATTTTTTAAAATTGAAACATATTTGTTTGTTTTTGACATTATAATTGTTTTCACAGTGCATCTTTGCTTAATAAAAATATTATATATTATTACCTGTATATATCATACCAATCACACCAATGTTATAATAACCTGCATGTTCATAAGACAAGGCTCAGTGTAACACAAATTGTTGTTATTAAGGTACATTTTAAATAGCATGCTGCATATGTAAGAGTTTAGTCTTTAGCTGTATCCATATTCCTAAAACTAGTTCATGAAATTGTTGTTTGCACTTTCAAAATAACTATAAAATGCCTTCAAGGTACGTATTAATACCTAATAAGAACAAAAGTATACTTTTTGAAATCGATTCTGCCTCAATGACCAAGAGCACATCATTCTTTTGTTCCTAGAGTGTAGGGTCAAGTGGAGCTAAATGAACACTGACTTGTTGAAAGATGCTTTCAGAACACTACTTGACACCTCAATAGATCTCTTCCAATTGCTTCCTGTTTTAAATTTCATGCCCTCTGTGGCATCAGGACATAAACGAGTGTGTCAGGCGAAGTGCCTCTTTAAAAGCTTAGTGTTGTTCAGTTGGTTGGAGATGTTGTCAAAATGGTATGAAGAACAGCCGTCACAACCCAGATAAGAAAACAACCAGCCTCTTTGCATTACCATACAAATACCTTTCTCCCATTCTGGCCTCTCCGTTTTCATTACCGTTCTCCGCTTTCAGCACATTTGACTGTCTTTCTCCTTTTTTCTGTGCTCTTTCTTGTCATTTGTGTTTTTCTTTCTTTCCATCTGGCTGTCTCTCTTGGGAGACTTCTGTCTTCCAGAGAGACTGAAACCGACAATCAAACATCAGCTTGTCTCACAATTACACACACAGGCACACACACACACACACACACACACACACAAACACACACACACAAAATACTGTGACGCAAACAATACTCAACACAGCACAGCATCATGATTTTAACATTCTACATGCGTATCACACACACACACACACACACACACACACACACACACACATACAGGCATACATGGTTTATGAGGTCAATGTGACTTTTTGGTGGTTTACGGGGACAAACCTTTGCCAACATCCTACGAACATAAAACTTGTGCCAAAAAATTTTATTTGAACTCCAAAAGGCAAACAACGCTTAAAAACAGCAATTTTAGTTTCACAACACACTCAAATTAACTATGTGACATTTCACAGGCTTATGGGGCCAGACAAAATCATGGTTTACAAGGTCTGTTTACATGTTACACACAAACCTAGCCCCTTCATGGTTTAAGAGGACTGATTAACACATTTTACATATCACACTATTCTGCTATTGCAGTAAGGGTGACAACAGAACAGACTCTGGCTTTCCTCAGCTAGACCCCTGCTAAACCCATCTCAGTTGCTAAGGTTCTGCCTGTCACTTCTTAAATGACAAAATCCTATTTTGTTTATAATACACTTTTGATTTAACAATTCTGTAGGCTTATTGTGTTGTATCAGTTAAACAATCTGTTTAATGTACTGTTGAACAATAACCTGAAAAAGACAGCATTTTAACATTAAAGTATGAAGAGTTAATTGTTTAAGGGCCTTTGCTCTTATTTTATAGGACAGTAGATATTTTGAAAGGCAACTTCAGATAAAAAAAAGAACATAATTGGCAAAGAACCTTCAACCATGAACAACCAGAAGCACAACTGTACGATAACATGTTCATTATTTTATTCTTTCACTTGGCCAGAACACAAATGTTCCCCTCTGTGAACTCTGTGTGGAGTTTGCATGTTCTTTGTGTTGGAGTGGGTTTCCTCCGGGTGCTCCGGTGTCCCCCACAGTCCAAAGACAAGCGGTACAGGGGATTGAATACACTAAATTGTCCGTAGTGTGTGTGAATGAGTGTGTATGGGTGTTTTCCAGTGATGGGTTGCAGCTGGAAGAACAACCGCAACGTAAAACATATTCTGGATAAGTTGGTGGTTCATTTCACTGTGGAAACCCCTGATAAATAAAGGGGTTAAGCCGAAAAGAAAATGATTGAATGAATGATTACAGCTTATAAACAAACTAATGGTATTTTAAAATTTAATTAAGTCGTTCAACAGATTATTCTTTTTCAAATTTAAATATTTATACTAGAACACAACATGGTAGGGCACTATAATACTGTCAAATACAAAACATTGCCACTCAATGACAGAAAAAAAAAAAAAAAAACTTTATTTTATTTTTGAAGTCCAGGAAAACAGCAGGGGAACTAAACATGTATATACATTTTATTATGAAATGCATCAACTATTATCGCTCTGACAAGAACAAAAAATAGATGGATAAAAATAGATAAAAAGATAGATAAAAAGAAAAAAAGATAAAACTAGACATAAAAGTTTGATTCCACAAATTGAATGATACATACAGAATTATATGAACACAAAACAGATTAAAAACTAAATTTCGTAATGTGACAGTAATATAATGTGTTATAATGTGACTAATTAATATCATACACATTTTCACTTTTTTGTCACAGTGACAATATTTGACCATTTTCAAACATGTAAATAAAAAACAAAAAACATGTCTTTTTGCTACTCAACACTGTTGTAAATGTTCAGTCTGAGAGACTGCATTTGTGGGTTATGTATTTTTGTGTGATGGGTATTGCCCAGGCTCATGAAGCAGACATGGACCTGGACTGTGGAGCAGTACCAGACTGTGGAGTAGTGGCAGACATGGGTTGAGAAGGTGAGGCAAACTGTAGAGCAATGTAGAGACTGCCCTAGAGTGATGATGGACTGTGAAGCTCTGGCATGGAACAGAAGTGGGCCTGGGCCATGTTTTTTTTTTTTTTTAATTTACATGTTTGAAAATGGTTAAATATTGTCACTCTGTGACAAGGAAAAAAAAATGAAAATGTTTATAATAATAATCAGTCTTTTGAACTCATTACAGCCTTCACGTCTGCTTTTGTCCATGGTCTTCTCATGTAGGTTGTTCTGCCAGTGCTAGAGCCTGAAAGCAAACAAGATGATTAACTGTTAGCATCACTGACTTTTAATAGATCATATCAACTGTTCATCAATATCGTTTAAAAGTCTCTTTCTTGGAAAAAAGGTTAATCCTTAGGTGTGCACTTACACCATGGTTATACATCACACAACTACATGATTTAACAGCAACATATGCGAGTATAACTTTCAGTAGCTGCTTTGAATCATTGTGGACTACTGAAATTAATATGACCTTTCCATGTAAAGACTTTTCTTAATTTAAAAAAAAGGCAAGCAATGTTTTTATAATATTCCCTATTATATTTTTCCACTGGAGAAATTCTTCCGTTTTTTAGTTTAGCTGAATAATAAAAAGGTAAAAACTGCAAAGGTCAATATTATGAGCACAAAAAATAAAATAAAAATATATAAAATTATAAAAATTAAAATTTATTTTTTGATTTTTTTGTCAGCCAGATATCGCAGAGCCCTATTTAAAAATGGCCAGATACAAAAGAGAAAGTGATAAATGGAAGACATTGACGAGAAATGTAGCATAGGAAAAAGCATTTGTGCATTTGCGCTACAAGCACTGCGATAGAAAGTCTGAACGTGTATTGAGTGCTGCTGGAAACATTGCAACTCCAACTAGGTCTGTTTAATCCAGACAATGTGTCAGCATGTTAGCTTTTCTGTCAAAGAATTTAAAATATGAACCAAAAACAATGGAGAGTTAGTAGCCAACGCTGTTTTTTCCTCAACATCTCACTTATATTGTTATCAATAGGCTAATATTTTTTGTTCTTCTTTTTCTTATTATCATTATTATTATTAGTTACTATTTATATTATCACTGATACTGAAAAGTGTTATTTAGGCTATTTGTGAAGTTCTTAAAAATGTAACATTTAATTATTATACAGGACAGGGGAACCAGTGAATATTGTCCTCACCACTTAAAAAAAATGTGTAAATAAAAACAAAAAAAAAAAACTAAAAATAAAGGATAAAAGGAAAAGCATGCTCTAGATCATTTTTCATAATCTGATTTGTACATGCTGCTGTGTGTGTGCACTTAGCCTAGACGAGCAGAGCACACACATCTAAAGTTATCTTACTGTGAGCGTTTTAATGGTCAAATAGGTGTCAAAATGCTGTGTTCAGTGATCATTCATTCATTTATAAGATGCTTAAAGCACAGTTTGTTTCATATTTTTATTCTATTGTACATATTTCCCTTTGCTCATTTACAGGGAGGAAAATAACTGCATATATACAGTTGAAATCCGAATTATTAGCCCTCCTGAATTATTAGCAACCATTTTCCACCAATTTCTGTTTAATGGAAAGAAGATTTTTTTTTCAACCCATTTCTAAACATAATAGTTTTAATAACTAATTTTTTATAACTGATTTCATTCATCTTTGTTATGATGACAGCACATACTTTACTATATATTTTTCAAAGTACAAGCATTCAGATTAAAGTACAATTCAAAGGCTTAATTAGGATAATTGGGCAAGTCATTAATATTGACCTTAAAATAGGTTTCAAAATATTTAAACCTGCTTTTATTCTAGCCAAAATAAAACAAATAAGACTTCCTCCAAAAGAAAAAAAATATTATAGAAAATACTGTAAAAAAAATCCTGAATTTGTTAAACATCATTTTGGAAATATTTATTAAAAAAATAAAAATTAAAAATTCACAGGAGCGCTAATAATTTTGACTTCAGCTGAAAAATCGTTTTGAATAATCCTGTTTGCAATTATGACAAAAATAATCGTGATTATGATTTTTCCCATAATAGAGCAGCCCTAACTGTATGTGTAATGTAGCCTACAGTAGATTATGTGATGTGATCAATTAAAAAATACTTTTCCTTTTTTTCTTAGTAATAAACATGCTTTTACACTATACTGTATGCTTTAGAAAAGATACAATACATGGTGAGAAGTATAGCCCCAGGCTGCAAAAATTAAACAAATATAAGAATGAAGTTGTTTAGCCTTTATAGCGCCCTATTAAATTGTGTTGGGGTAAAAAAAATGTTTACATTTCTTTGACTATCATGGCGATGTTACTACCTCAAATCTTAAACGTGCGCACATTGCAAGAAATGAAAATCGCTTCACAGCACACACTACAAAATATTAAGGTTTTCGAGTCAATGAAACACATCACCTGATTGCAGTATAACTTGCTTTATCAATAATTATTATTATTTATTATAGGCCAGGTTACAAATATTTGAAAATCTGTCACTACATGCAAAACACTCAAAATAGCTTCCCTTTTGCATAGCTATTAGTGGCAGTTATGAATTAAATAAATGGGCATATCGGCACGTAAGGTGAGTCGCCTATTATTTATCGTCTGTTTATTTTTTTCACATGCATGCAGAGTGAACAGTCTGTGCTGTTTCTGCTTGTTTAATAGAGCTCCTCCTCTTATAGCTGGCCTATTTCGGTATAAAGGACTAATTTTTTTTTTTATACTGTATGCTATTCTATCCCCTATATTAAACACAGCAAATGTATAATTAAATATTAGAAACATAAATATTTAAAGTTTCTAAAAGCACATTTTACTGTTTAAGCATTGTTTATTGGCCGTCGGCGTCGATGATGTGCACCTCTCAAAAAATGTAACTACAAGTCGCAAGGACACAGAGCGCAAGGTCGTGATTTTTTTGATGGTCGTGATTGGTCGGCTTGGCAGCGCTGACGAGTCTGGGGGCGGGACCAAGAGCCGTGCGAGTGGCGCGAGCCCAATAGAGCGATTGTTTACAAGTGTGGAGTCCCGTGAAGGAGCTCTGGATAGAAAGTTTTGTTTTGTGTTTATCTCATAGTTAAAGTTGTTCCACGTCCGCCGGTTCCAGCCTCAAAATGAGCGAGTTTGAGTCACTTGTATGTTCAGGAAGCGTTTAGAAAAAACAAAACAACAGCGAAGAAACTCAACACAGAGGAACATTAACACCTCACTGCCAACTAGCGTTTCGAAAGTGTTAATGCAGACCAACAGAGACATTGCGCAGAAGTAAAATAAACAGCTACGCGTGTTGCATGTGCCGTGGGTTACGCCGATCATAACGCAGAAGTATAAACCAGGCTTTATAAACTTTAATTTCATAAGTGCATACAATATAATATTAATAATAATAAGATAATTAGCATGTTTATCATGGGAAGACATCATGCAGTGAGTGGATAATTCCATACGTGCAATATGTACGTTTAAATCTCTCCATTTTGCTGTAATGGCTGTGCTGTGTTTGACTGGCAATAGCTTTTAGATTATAACCCGCGACCCACTTATTAATATGCAGCCTTTTTTTGATTACATGGGGCCAGTTGCACCAGCAGTTTGTAAGTTAAAATGAAGCCTAGTTGTGACTTAAAGGGACACTAATTTACAATGTACGCACTACTAAATGTTTCTGTGTTGCACCATTTCACTCAGTTTAAACCTAACGCTGTGTTCCAACTAAAAATTTACCGCAGCCTCCCCCCATGTATAATGATAGAAAAGAGATGACGGTGAGATTAGTTTACATCGAGGAGCTTGCGATGATCTCCCTCTATTCACAGCCTCTTCCTAAATCTCGCATTTCTTTCGGTTTGTGAATGAAGAGTTTAATTTTGTTTCAAGGAGTGTTTTGTGTTAACATACATTTCTTTATGACTGGGTTTTTTCTCCCTGCTATTTTTTCTTTAACGTGTAGAATATTTAAAAAATCAAGTTTTATGTTTTGATAACTTTGTGTAATTTGTGTGCATTCACAGCAAATTTTCAAAGAACAGTTATATGTAGATACATTAGTTGCAGAATTCTAAATCAGTTTAACGATTGAAACACTTTTTATTTGATATTAGGTGATTTAATGCAACTACGTATGACTTTACGGAGAGCTTATGATCTTACTAACTACGGTTTGCCTTAAGCAAACCAAAGTAAAAACAACTTTAGTTATAAACATGCCAGTAGTTATTATTATTATTATTATTATTATTACTAATACTACTATTATTATTAGGCAATTTTCTGAAGCAACCCCTGTAACCAAATTTAGTGCTTTTGGGTTGTTGTTGTTTTCGGTTAAAGCGCAATGCCTCATTAACACCTCAGACAGGCTGCTTCATTAATAGCCAAACATTTTGTTTGAGATGAGGGCAGGGGTATATCTTGAGTATATTTCACAAGCAAGGTTGACACAAAATCCCCGGTTATATACCTTTTACCTATAGGCGAACTTCTGGTAATGTAGGCTTATATAGGCTGTTTCTATTCACAGCAACTTATGGACTGAACTACGTGTTAATTAAAATTTCTATATTAGGCTCGTAGCAATTGATATCGGAGTCATGGAATATTGTTTGCATTTATTTTGCATATTGTTTGCAATATCCTACTTTAATAATAATAATAATAATTAATATTATATTAAAAAGTTTTTTCTATTTCAAAATTAATAGCCTACTGTAAATTAGGCCTACAACCATTAATGATTTATATAATTTATATATGAAATTAGAAATGAAATTCTTAATAATATTTGTAAAGGAAACAAAAATAGGTCTTATATGTGCCGTTATATATATTTCAATTAATATGGAAAATAAGTGCATGTTTTCACCAAAACTATGATAGATTTTTTTAAATGTGTGATTGTGTAAAACAATATAATTTGCAAATAAAATAATGTTTTTTTTCTCTCTCTCTCTCTAAAGAAGTTGTTACCACCTCGTTTAGAGCATCATTATGGGCATTTTACGTTATAACTAATGTGGGTCAAACAATAGATCTGTGACAGAGAAACTACAGGTTTTGGGACACACTCGTCACTACATCGTTCTTTTCCCAAACGACACATTGTACTATGATATTTCTGCCGCGAGTTACGTTGTTGTTTGGGAAACCCAGCCCTGGTGCAGAGCCAGAGGAAGAAGCGCGCTGCGCTTGTGGAGCAGATAAGAAGCTAAAGAAGCTTCTAGACCAGGGGAGAGTTTCCCAAACAACG